AAAAAGAAGACGTTTGGTTCTGCTGCTTACCACGGGTGTGCCAAAGTTGACGAGGTGTGGCGACTGCGGCGAGACGAGGGCCCAGACAGTCAGGATGATGCAGTTGAGCAACACCAGGGCCATGATGATCGCAAACAGGCTGCTATCCTTGATCATCTGGACAATAATAATGATGCACAGAACTCAAACGACCAGAACGACTATTCTTTTCTTCTTATTAGTGTTTATTTTTTCCAGGACTCTCGCAAAGGAAGAAACAACCTCAGACATGAAACGGTGAATCGTAATCGCAACATCAAAACTAAAAAAGATGAAAATAAGAATTCCAAAAAGTGCTATTTTATTCCCCATCACAATATATGGATGCGAAGGCCACTTGGGATTGGCTTCGGGGTACAGGGCAGCGATGACCAAACAGACACAATTTAGATCATTTAAGAGGCGGGCTGCTTCGACCCTGCCTGTCAGGACTGACCCGAGATAATAATGACAAAAAATGACATTCCCATAACACTCAACCCCGATTAAAGTACACAGGCTCTGAGCGCTTTACAATACAGTACAACGTAAACGCAATAAAAATGTATCTTTGACATCAACAGGTATGGTCGTTCTACGGGTACATAATAGCTCATAAATTAATGTTGCACATAAAGCCATGAGAACTACTGAGAATCAAGAGTCTGTCATAAATACCATTTTCTATGAATTACAGTTAAAGACATATTATGGTTACTTAATGGTGGCATTGCGCTGCCAAGAGTCAAATGCTCGAGGCTAAAGGGATTTGAAAACAACAACATGAATTACATATGGGCAGCTTTTTGTTTTTCTATCTCAAAGCCTACACGATATTATTTTTGTTTTATGTTTTATAGTCTGATAGATATTTTCTTTTTCAAAAGAAAGTATGGCCACTAGATCTATCCACTTCTTTCAACTGATCTTCATCAACAAATCTAATTTCCCAGAGACTGTCATCTGTGGTGCAGACGTTAGGCACTCTGCCATCGCACATACGCAGGAGATTCGAGTTCAATTTCCGTGGGGAGGAAGCGGGGGGGGGGGGGGGGGGGGGGGGGGGGGTACCAAGCATCTCTGCTTTTCTGGTGGAAAATTGTACCCGTGGGTTGGCACTAACAATCGGAATCGAAACCTGAGTCCTAAATGATCTAAACTGTGTCGATGAGGGCGACAAAGTACCTACATCTGAAAAATTGAATTCTCTAATTTTATTATTTCCAAATTCGTATCTGCAAAAGAGTTCTACAAAAAGTTGCAAGATATATTTCGCCATGGCATCTACTCACTCTTGTATTCCGCATCCGATGTCCGTGTGTAAAGATGGTGTACACTCTCCAGGTCTTGGCAAAAACGGCGCCAAAACCAATTGAAAAGCTCAGGGCCAGAAGGAATGTGTGAAGCTGTGGAATGTCAAAGGAAAAAAAACATATAGAAAAACAATACAATAGTGCTAGTTAGGCTTAGGACACGGAGTTATTAGTATGATCTAAAAGCCTGTTTACTAGCCTTGCGTTTGGTGAAAAAGAAAATACGCGTCTGCCTTGAACAGAAGTCGCGATATCTTCATTTTCGATTGAAAGAGATCGTGGCTACCTGGTGTCAAGGGAAAAATTATCGAGAAAAAGGCCACAAAAGTTTGCTGACTTACGAAGCTTTAGTGTCCTTGAAAACTGCAGCACATGTATGAGTCTTGTGACTTTGGTCAACGTTTTCAGTAAAAATCCATGCAGAACTGTGTTTTTAATTGGCATGAAATGGGATGATCCCAAAACAACCCCCCCCCCCCAAAAAAAAAAGAGAAAATCAGTAAAAAAAAAAAAAAATTAAAAAAAAAAAAAAATAAATAAAAATTAAAAATAAAAATTGCCTGACGGGTGAAAAATGTCGGTTACTTCGATTGCACTATTTAATTTATTTGAACGAGCACACGATTTCGCCCACAAGGCTACACAATTTATTCTTCTAAGGTCCTTGGACTCACCACACACGTGCCCGTGGACTCGCCCCCTGCGGGTTCAATTATGAGCACAGAACAATAGGCGATTAAACAACCGCTGAGGATGATGTTGTTGATCCTTGGCGATGACATCTTGATGATCCTGTAAATGTGGGATCAAATGTTTTTGCTAGAATCATCGTGTAAATAGAAGAGAAAAGTAAGCCTTATTCTTGATTGTTCTGTATACATTGCCGAGTTTTGTATCAACTCTGTAAATCAGAAAAATATGTGTGTATATGTGTGTGTGTGTGTGTGTGTGTGTGTGTGTGTGTACATCTGAGCGTATATATAAGTTTGTTTGTACGTGTGTGGGTGGGTGTGTGTGTGTGTGTGTGTGTGTGTGTGTGTTTATGTGTGTGTGTGTGTGTGTGTGTGTGTGTGTGTGTGTGTGTGTGTGTGTATGTGTGTAGGTGTGTGTGTGTCGAATTTTATTTTAAGAAACGAGCTACACTTTTACAAAATAACATATTATTTGAAATTTGAAGAAATGTGCTAATTGAGACTTATTGTTAACGCCCAGATGAGCGAAAGTGTATGAGTTTAACACCCCCTTGTAACACTGTAAGGTTATTTCTTTAGGGGCTGGACATCTGAATTTAACCTCCACATCCTATAAATCCGTGCCAAATAGGAAACATCGTGTAAAATGCTCTTCCTAGACAAGAAACCCAAGAACAAAACAATAAGCAAAGAAGCAGACATTACTTGTGCCTTCTGCTCATGATGTTGAACACTAGAAGCGCCAGCGTAAGGAGAATGCCGGAACAAGCTAGGAACCAGAAACAGAACTTGATCCGACCGTCAATCCTGACCACTTGGTTTACAGTAAGCACACCGTCCACTGGGACTTTTCCTGCAAAAGAAAAGACCAGGAAAACAAAGTGTCTTAGTCACATACTGTTGAAAATATTAAAGTTCTTTGACTGACCACACACGTCAGGGGAGACTACACGGCATAATCATTTGAGTGAAACGACAAGACGACTTTGTATCAGAGTTATGACCTTTACAACTTACCCAAACACAGGTATATTATCATGCTCAAGTCCAACTTAACGAGCTAGGAAGGATGGCTCAGGACAGAGATAAATGGAAGGAGCTTTATGTGGCCTATACCCCGCCACGGGTGAAAGGCACCGATGATGATGATGATGAAGTCCAACTTAGTTGTTTTGTTTTCGAAACGACCTCGAAGTGACTTAAGCTCTGTATTTTTCTGATTCCTCCAAATATAAAAAGAAGAGGGAATTCGGTTTTTATTTGAAAATACCCTGTACGCTTTTTTTTAAAGCATGTAAGCACTATCATGACGCTGTCTGTCACATCAAACGTTCTACTATTCTATCTCTATTCGCACATACGTTTCACTTTTCCATCCATCTATCCATCCATTCATCCACTCATCCATCCATTCCTTCGTCCATCCATTCGTACATCCATAGCCCATGACATTGCAGAACAATTGTTTTCGTCTTCAGTTTCCTCACTTCACCCAGGTGTGAATGGGTACCGGACCATAGTCAGCGAAAGATCTTGTCAGTATGTTAGTGTTAAACACCTATTAATAGCAGCTTGCACTATATGCTTCCCTGGAAGTTGAGAGTGTTTCAGAATGCTATCGGGCCAGGTAATAATAATAATATAGATTATAAAACGCATAGAGCTTGCTGTGAGCGGGAATTTGCCCTGTGCAAATGCTATCTATTATTAATATCATTATTATCTTTTTTATCATTATTATTATTATTATTATTATTATTATTATTATTATTATTATTATTATTATTATTATTATTATTATTATTATTGTTATTATTATTATAATTGTTATTATTATTTCAAGCTCTAAATAAAGCCTCCTTACCATTTTCCCAGATAATTTTCTCTTCTTCGATAGAACAGTTCCACTTTGTGCCTCTGGGTGGGAGAGTACATCTACCAATATCAATGAACGTCAGGTTGTCGTCTGAAAAAATAAGGGATGAGGTTGGATTAGTTTCTTAGCCGAAATCTGGAAAATAAAATTATGAAAATTGCGTTTCCCTACTTATTTACACAATAGAGAGACAACCCTTGCCCCTTCCATGATACTAAACGTAATGACCATATTTATCATTTGGAGAAGGAAGCTGAGAATATTATTTTCTGAGTGTGCGTGGGTCAGATGGGGTAGTGAAATAGATTGTAAGGCGTATAGAGGCTTGCTGTTGAGCGGGAATATACGCTTTACAAACGTTATTTAACATGTTCCAACAGGTGGGACCGTTGGCATTCAAGTTCATCTTCCATTCAAACTGGTAGAGAGCCTTTATCTCAGTTTTGGACCTGTGCCACCCGTGGCGAAGAAAAGAGTCGCCTGCATTTTTCAGAGTTGATGAGCTAGTCTAGCTGACTAATAAGGTTGATGAGTTCTTGTATACTTCAAGTCGTGTGTGGTTGGCGGGTGTCTGGTGTCGTTTGTTTAATCTGTCCAAGCCAACTTCTATCGAATCCTTATCTCTCCTCCTTTTCTTTTCTTTTCATGTTACTCTCCGAGAAGAGCCAACGACGAAAGGAAAACAGAGGAAAAACAGAGGTTCGATCCTTCTCACTGACATGCAAGCACTGTGACAGAATCTGAGCTTCAAACATTGGAATAATTAGCCATCAAAGAAGCTGCATTAAAGACAACTTTGACACCGTCTTAAGATAAACTGGCCGTCAGCATAGGCAAAAAGAGCCGTACTCTCTCTAGTAACACCTCTAACTTTTAAAATATTTATGGTCGATTAGTGTTGCAAGTGAATCTCTTACTGAACGTAAACTAAACAAAATACTTCAAGTCAGCACGATGCCAGAAATAATAATTGTAACAAAGGTAAAGATAGACAACTGGTACCGTTGAGAAATCTGGAGATGAGGATTCCAGGCGTTCTCTCCCCTCTTTCGTTAAAGGAAAAGGGTCCAGACAAGGCTGAAAATTTCACGTTCTGCATGTGAGACTTCATCAGTTGGAAGAATGTCTCGTTGTGATAAGAATAGTCTCCCAATCCGCTGTTAGGATCTGAAAACACAAGGAAATCGGTTTAATTTTAAAAAATTAAAGTTTTAAGTTTTGTTTTAGTTTTAGTAAGAGTTTTTCAGAATTGTAACACAAATAGGTCACAGTGCCAAATTTTAAAGGTGTTATTAAAAAGCTGCATACACAGGAAATAAGTAGGAGAGCAGATAAGTACGATAGATGTTTGATAGGAAAGAAGGAGCATACTAGGCTAGAGCTCCAGCAAACTACCCAAATAGGTAAAGTATAGCCCATCATTGTAATGCACAACACCTAATGGGAAACAGTTGGGGCCATCGTGGGGGGCATGGTGGGGTCGCAGCTACGTCATAGAGGAACAGAAACCTGTGGGCTGTGATTGTCGTTGTGCTTGAAGACGAGGGAAGGGCGGGGGGTGTTATTTTTTACTGCTACTGGAAAAAAACAACCGTTCTCCCTCTTTTTTCCAAGACAGTTCTTCTAAGGCAGATCTCATTTTTTGGTACGTGTTTTACGGCAATCGCAACTGCATAAGGTTTTATTATGAGCGCGCAGGACACTTCAAACTATTTCAGGCACATCTCAGGGTATTTGTAAAGCAACAAAACAAATTAATTTGCTCGCCAATGTAACTAATTCAGGGATATTGTCTTTCAGACAGACATACTATTTGTGCCGGGGGGGGGTTTCGGAAGTGATATTTGTTTAATTGGACAGGAGTTCTTTCAAATTGTATTTTAGAGGGAAGGGAGGTAAGAAAAACTATTCAATGTTCCTATCCAAGTGGGCTTGTATTGGTTCCCCTTCCACTTACCTGGGCGTTCTAAAAGGGTACAAAGCGCCCACGAGCCTTTCGAGTTCAAGCACGACATATGCAAATGCGAAGTTGTCCGCTGACTTTAATTGAGGGAGAGACAGAAGAAAGAGACAGAGAGGAGAAAAGAGGAGAAAGAGAAAGAGAGAGAGGGAGAGAGGAGAAAGAGAGAGAAAGAGAGAGAGAAAGAGAGAGAGAGAGACAGACAGACAGACAGACAGACAGACAGACAGACAGACAGACAGACAGACAGAGACAGAGAGGAGAAAAGAAAAGAAAAGCAAATGTGGGAGGTTCGGAGCACCCCCTCCCCTCCCCCACCCCGTTTTTTGCACCCAATCAAAATAAGGGAAAAGACATTTGCATACTAACACTTGCAACTACGTGTATACCGTGTTACTTACATGTATACCCATCCGCGTCTGTCGCTTAGCAGCGTAAATGTGTTTCTGTGTCACACGCAGAAGACATGAGTTCAATTCTCGCGCTGGGAGCTATTATTTTTTATCACGTATCTCCGTCTTTCTGCTCAGGCGCTGTACCCCTCTTAGCCTGGGGTGGCCTTACCAGCAGAATTGAAGCTGCACGTTTCCTAAAGAATCATGATTTTAAATACTTGATAAAAAGAAACTCGGGGTTCTCGTGGTCAAGAGGTTACGGTGTTCGCCTCTCATTCAATAGGTCCCGGGTTCGAATCCCGACCACCAATGAAAATTTTCTTCTCTAAAATTGTCTCCATTCACCTCCTTTCCTGCTCTCGAACAATATTCTGTCGTCCTCTTTCGTCTCTACTTTCTGCCTCCACCCCTTCACCTCTTTGCCCCCTTGCCCCCTCCACTGGGCTCCTGACTCTTTCTGCAGCCTTTCTACTGCTACTTCTCGGTTCCTTCCTATCGCTGTCTTTCAGCCACACCCCTGATCTTATGGTAGGTATGGTTTAACACCTATCCTTCTCGGATAAGGGCAGAAAATATCGCAGGTCCTGTGTGCAAGTTGCGCCCTTTAAAGATCCCTTGGTGGTCCAGTATCGATAAGAGTAGGCTTCAGCCGCCACCCGGACAAAATTCAACATTAATAGCATTTAATCGTTTCATTTATCATCATCATCATCATCGAGTGCCAGATCTGCGACAGACATCGGCGAACGTAGTTCTCCATTCATTTCTTTTCTCGGATGCTCTTAAAAAAGCTATGTTTCCCTGATCTTTCCCTGTCACCCACTTGTTCAAGTTCCCCAAGTAGGTTGCTTTGGGCCTTCCCCTGCCTCGCTTGCCCTCAATCTTGCCAGTGAGAGCTAGATGTTCAAGACCCTTATGTCTATTCAGGTGTCCTGAATTTCATTTATACTTGTAGAAAATAAATGTTTAGAACTTATGATACAGCTATCCATCTAAATAGTCAGTGTAAGATTAATGTAAGATGATTTATCTTGCTTTAGTGTTCGAACATCTCCTTATAAGAGTGTGGAAACAGAATATAACGTCCGCTTAATTGGTCTTGGGCTTTTTAATTATTTTTTTTGGTCATTGTTTTAGGAGGGGGGGGGGCGGTGTTGTTGTAGTTGCTTTTGTTGTTTGTTGGTGTTTTTTTGTCTTTTTTTGTGGTGGTGGTGGTGGTTTTTTCTTCTCTTTTTCTTTTTTTTTG